GCTTGAACACGGACGTTGGTCAGGCTCCCGCGGTTCCAATTACGATTGAAAGGCGGCCCTGTTTGTTCGCCTCCTATAACTGCGGACTCTTCAGTGCCTCGTACAAGCCACTCTTACCCCATGGCCACTTTCGAGTTTCGACGCGTGTGTTTCCATGGCGAACGACGCGAATCCATCCGCCGTCAGAATCTTTAAATTTTCACCCCGTAACAACGATCTAAATATGAATTTAACAAACTTCAACGCCAAGCAATCTTCTCATATTTGTATAAAACGAAGGGGATGGGGAAAAAGTTTCAGCGTAATACGTTTGAATAATCGAGGAACGAGGCGAGCCACGATTATTCGACGATTCAGGGCTACTTCCCTATCTTTTGATATGCGAAATTAACGACCTTGCAACGTGAACTCGCGCGAATTTTTCATGGATTATTAATTTCAAGGAAAAAAGACTTTTTCTCTCTTCACTTAATCCGATGATTTTTCACCCCGATGGAAGATGAATTCTATCGTCGAACGAGAACGTTCCCATTCTCGTTTAATTCCTTAACGAGAAACGCGAACGTTCCTCGCTGGAATCTCGTTAGAAGCGAGAAAACGGGGGACGTTCTACTCTCGGCATCGAGGGACGTGTTCCGCGTCGTCTCGTCGAGTTCCGAAGCATTACCGTAACGTAAACGAGCCAATCAGCCGGCTTTGTGACGGCAATCATCCTTTGATTATACGGCACTTACCTCGCAAAACAGGGTCGCGATTCTATCGGACGATCATTTTCGTCTTTGACAAAATACAAGGGAGAACTGAATAAATAGCGTACAAAAACAGCCCTATTCCTAGAATAACTCTAGACGAGATATAAAAAGTCTTTACGCTCTACGTATTGGAATACATTTAAACAATTATTTCGTTTTCTTTTCAAAGCTCCGTTAACTGTATCGCAATGGGGTGGGACTTAAAGTCTCCAGAAAGGGTGTCGCAAAGATACCACGAAGATGGTGCAGATTCGCGCGGCAAACATCGACGTCGAGAGAGGGTTGCTTGTTTACAAGCGACAGTTGATTTGACAAAGCCGCGGGTCCATTTATACGAGTGAATATTACAGGGCAAAGTCGAGGGGTGGCTTGTTATCCGCTCATTGAAGTTAACCACGGGGCTAAGTGCGCCGGGGAGTGGCGGTCGGGAGGAGCAAGGAGAACCGGCGACTAAAGGTTAGGTACACCACCGATGGTGGGAGTAAGCTTACAGTTTGCGACGAGAAGGGCGGAAACACCGTGAGGAAGCGAGAGAAACGAAGGGATTCTGCTAAAACGGATAAGAACAGCAGATAAACCGAACAGGAGGAAGAAGGTAAGCAAAACGGGGTAAGATAGAAAGGGATGAAAAGAGGAAGTTGAAGTGAAATATACTGAGAGGGAAATGGGGTAGCGATGGATGCGATACGCTCGCAAGTTACACCCCTATTGTGATGAGTCGTGTTTCTTAAAGAAACTTCAACTTTTCACCCTGAAGACTGGGTACTGCCTGAGGAGGACCTAAACAAAGAATTCCAACAACCGATTTAGGATTTCCACATACCCTATCCTGATGTTTCACACAAATAAACAACAGTTTCGTTTCAATCGAAATACTTATTGTGTTTTAATGGTGTAGCTTCCTACGATGAGCTACAATGAACTTGCGAAGAAATTGAAAAACATTAATCGAATTAATCCCATCGCTAGAAGAGGGTGATGGAACGAAAGATGGGTAACAGCAGGGTGGCCCCAAAGAAGACGGGGAGAGAGGAGAGAGTCGGTAGAACAGCGACGGGCCAATGAGAGGCCAGATCGTTGCCGAGGTAACCGCGGGGCTTTTCCGACGGATTATTCGACCGAGATTGAAAAGTTAGCGCCGTGGAAGCGGGCGGGGGTTCGTCGACGGAGCCACTCCTGTCTCTCCCGGAACGAGCGATCTCCTCGCGGCAAGGCTAACACAACGGATTAAGGCTTATTTTCGCGTTCACCGCAGCTCCACTCCCTTTTCACTTTTTACTCGATCCTATTATCTTACAATGCCGATATTCACGTTAGCGCGCTCATTTGTTTCGAATCGCTTCCATTGTTGGATCCCTGATCGATCATCGGCCCTTGAGCCCTTTACAAAAAGAACAGGGTAAAAATATAACTCGTGAAGTTTGAAAAAAAAGTGTTATCAATTATAATTCATATAACTAAGATTCCACCGTAAATGTAACTAAACATTCTTGTAGCCACCGTTCGATTTTCAATCAATAGTACGACCGACCTCGTCGGTTCCTTGATCTACTTATTCGTCCTTGTACCATTCCAATTACGGATCACTGACCACGAGCCACGGTTTTTAATTGGTCAACCTCGACGAGGATTCGAGGAAGACACGTTTTATATTTAGAATCTTTAGATTCCTCTATCGAAGAAGACCGACTGGTTATACGTGGTAAGTACTTACTTCGAGCTTACCAAGGGGAACGTCGGCGAAGCATTCGTTCGTCGGTGACGGGTCAAGCGTGAGTACGTCCCGGAAAAGTGTTTATTTCTGCATGTACACGATGCACACGGTGCACGTCTAGCAGGCTGCTTATCCGGTAACCACTTCGGGGTTACCTGACACGTGCATAATTAATGCCCGCGATGATGAGAACGCGACACTACGGTGCGCCTACACAGGCTATCTGTGTCGACAAAATATAAAATGGGAAAACAGAATATCCGAAAGTCAAACTCGGTAAAATTGAGAAAAGAACTGCTGTAAAAAGTTACATAAATTAAGTTTTCCACGAGAACTTCTCCATTTCTTTTGTCACGAAGAAATTCCAGGTATCACCTTGTACATGCATTACAACAGAGTATAGAAAAGGGGATGAACGCGAAACGAGAGAAATAAAACGCGTTGGAAGGACGAAAGAGCGATTCTTAACCGAATGGATGCCGTGGAGAACGAAAGGAAAGATCGAAGGACAGAGAGACGAAGAGGAGGACGAGCAGAAAAGTTGTCCAAGTAACCGACGCGGAAACGCGGGGTAATGACTACTTTTTCATATTTTAATTACGCAGTAATTAATTGAAATGTTTCCTCGTTCGCGAGGGCACTCGAGCAAAATGAGAGGCGAGTAACTTGCCGGAGTCGGCTTCGACTCGTTTCTTCTTCTTCGTCTTCTGTTTTTCTCCCTCTTCTCTTCCGCGGGGTGTTCCTCTGTCTTCGCCTCTCTCCCCTGAGAATTTCCCGTTTCCTTCGTTCTTTCACCCTTTTTCGCGAAATTAGGTAGAAACCTTTTCACGAGGCTCGCTTCTCTCTTTTAAAAATTTCAGCTCTCAGCTAATTGTATCTGCTAATGGCTTTAACGTGAAAGGATTCCTCTGATAGCGTTCCTCGTCTCACCGTATCTCTCTCCCCTCTCCTATTATCAGTAACCCCGGCTCGTGTGCACCCTGCTTAAAGTACTAATTAAATTAGTTTCGTAAAGCGAAACTCGTCGGCCAGACTTTCGAGGCTATCGATTCGCCGCGATCATTAAAATAATTACGAATGTTCGCTAGTAATTGCACGGATATTTCGTTCGCTTAAGCGTCGTTGATGAATTGTTACATCCAGACCGTGAATGTTTATGCATTTTTAACACACATAAATGTGTGTTACGTAAAATGAAAACGAATAAAATATGTATTCAAAGAGCGTGATAACCCTCACCTTTTGACACATTTTATTACATTCAGTATCATCGCGATGTTTCACGTTCGAAAGTATTCAAGTAATTTTCCAGCAAGTTAATCTTCAGTAGTTTTCTCGCGTTTCCTAGAAGGTTACTTGTCAAACAATATGACCAGGGACCGTTTCAGGCTAGCTGCCTCGATATCACGAGAATCCACGTAGGACGCTTCGTTACTCGTTACCCAACACTAAAGCTGAGTTGTAGTAGCGATAGAACAATGGCAAGAGGAGCAGTAAGACGAAGAAGGAGAAGATACGACCAAAACGAGGACTGGTTGGCAAGCTTTTGTTAGCACGGATGCTTCTTGTTACGTGCAATTGTCATCAACTTGTTCCAGCCATTGTTTCCGGTAACTCTTTCGCGGTAACGAGGAGGAACCTCAATTAGAACGGTTTGAGGGCTTAAACGCCCAGAGGCTGGCGAGCTTTAAGAGGCAAGGATGCACCAACACCGTTACCGGAACATTGTTTCTTTTGAACGATAACTCGGTGATACTTTTTCAACTGTATCGGTGCTGTTCGTGGATGCAAGTCATTCCTCGACTTTCTTCCACGAGATAATTACTAGGCACGCTCGAGGGTATGATACCATTACGCTCTCCAACAACGAGTCTTCGTTAACGTTACCAGCAAACTCGTTGCTGCTGCTGCAAATTGCAACGACTGTATTTTGGGAACCAGCGTATACGTATATCCTCATGGGGTTGTTAAATTAGATGAATATCAAAAGATTCAATTTCGAATGACTTATGCTAGTTTCGAATGATCGTCATACTTATTGATAGTCCTTTCAATTAGACTGAAAGGACTCTTCACCGAACCGTCTCCCAAACAACAACCAGTTCGATCAATTGTGCCAGGGTGAATAATAGAAACGCGTGACTCTACCATCCGCCTGATATCCTGGTCGCTAAACAAGGCTACGCTTTGAAGTTCAAATTGAAATAAATCCTGTTACCGTTTCGACATTAACTCAGCCCGTTAGCAACACCATTGAAAGCTTCCAGCCATTAAAACCCCTATTTAAGCCTCTTTACGGTCCGCGAAACGTACACCATTGCACCGCTGCACTGTCCGTACGCGAACATCAAATGGACTATCTCTAGTCTCGTTCTACCTGTGTAACGAGCTATTTGCTTGGAAGCGTTAATGGTAGGAAAAAAGTAGACAATTTCGCGGCGGGTCGGTTGAACGCAATCAATATTTGTATCATCGCCAGGTGACCACAGAGAAAAGCATGCTGTGTACAGTGTATACATTCTGTGTGTACGTACGTGCCAGCTATATTGTCTGCTATCGGAAATCCATCCGAATATCTGGAATTTTTTTTCGGCAGCACGCGCGGCTCGTTTTATGATCGCCTGTGACACGCAGTCGAAATTAAGATGCACAGAAGACAACGAAGCTCCTCCGACGAAAACTTCTAAACCTACATAAAGAAAAAACGTTGTATCTTGAGTTACATATTTTTCTCTTTTCAGAAATGTTTGATTAAAACATTGAAGTATTTGATACGCGGTAAATGATCAAAGTCTATCGAACTATACCCTAAAAATGATTTATAACTTATTCTTACTGTGTTCTTAGAAGAGCATTAAATTCTTATATTCGCGAAGAACGCAAGGAGCAAGGTTCGAATAGACGGTTGCTAGGCTCCTGTTATCCTGGCTGGAGTGAAACACGGTTATTCCGGGAATCGAAGTCCTGGAACCTCGGAAACCGCGGGAACCATGGATAGATTGTTGATGAGTTATGGGGTCCTGGTAATGTGGATGCTTCTGGCGCCATGCGGTTGACGAGTGACAGAACATTGACGGGTTTTGGCAGGACACTGTTCCCTGTGCACCTTCGAAAGGGGATGGAAACATTCCGTTCGATCGACCGATTGTGAGATGAAATTCTACGTTGCATGCAGTCCTGGTCGACGGAATGCTTGACGTTCGAAAGTCGCTGGAAGCTCGAGGAACGATCCTGAAAGCTTTCGACCATGAAAATACCTGCTCGCATGATATCCTAATGACATTGGATGTTTGTAAGATACGAGCGCAAATTGTCGCAAGCTACCGATCACTGAATTATAGATGAATACATAATATTTACATGTATTCTGGTTACGGAGTATGCGATCTTCAACGCATACTCGTGACGTTCACAAGGGATAGGAATGCAGTCGTCTCAGCAGGATAGCGTCGAGGATCGAGGACATTCCGTCGTATTCCATATGTGTTCTTCTATCCTAATACTTCAGCTTAATTTGCCTTTTGAAGTCCTTCTAATAGTTTGATATGTATCTTACTGTTTGCACATGTTGGTTTATCCGCCTGATAAATACATTTTGTATCAAAGCATTTGTTATTTGTACAAATTAGAAGTTAAATAACAAGAATCTATTATATGAATACGATACGAATCATTTCGTGTTAATAAAAATAATTTTAAATCATTAATAGATTTAAGAATAGATTATGAAGAAGCTTCGGTATCGTTGAACAATTCAAGCACGCGTTATTTTTGCATATCAGGTGATTATAAAGGATATGATCCTTCCAGATTACCTTCTCATAGAACTGTTGCCCTAAGATCAGGACAAACGCTTCTACGTATGGGTATCATTTTGACGCTGGTCTCGAAAGCTTTTCCGTTTTAGTTCATGGTGTGTGCTCGATGGAATGTTTTTTTTTCTTGTTCGTGCGGAACTTACTTACGATCTACCTCCATTTGCCTATGCTTTCCTAAATTTCAACTTCCTGTTCCCTTCCGGTATCTAGATAGCTTTACGGAAAGGAGTTCCGATCGATAATCGGACCTGAATGAAAAAAAAAAGGATTTAAGACTCCTTTTAATTAGACTATCATTGATGTACCTAGTATAGTGTAACATTTTTCAATTACAGAATTTTTTCTTACAGAATTTATTATTTTTAAAGAAATGGATATAGTACTGAAAATATAGAAAACCTAATGATTCCATGATAGTCATGATTCAGTTCCTTTCCATTGTACTTTCCTGACACAATTGACGCCAATTGCAACTTGACAATCACCTCTTCGAAAAAGGAAAAATCTTGTCAACCGTAGGGCAAAGTAGACAGGATCATATCCTACCTAGCAAGTTACGTTCCTATTCTGCAGCTACGCGCAACCTGTCCCATTCTATACCACCTTGATCCGGAAATATGCTTCGCGTTTGAGGCAATTATCCTTGTTAATATAGGCATACATCTTTAACTCAATTTTCTCTTCTCTGTAACAATACTCTATTACCTTTTACCGTGAAATAGTAATCATAGTATACGTTCCAGTTAATGTATAGTTAACTTAAATAATTGAAAATATAAATTGAACTTTTTTACTGAAATTTATTCCCACGAAGGAGCATTCCATGTACAGGATCATGATTGAATATTGTACGTGTTAAAGGATCGTCTGGGTTGTGACGTTGCGAAAACGAGATGCCTCGTGTGCCAGGATAACAGGACACGTTAGGGGCATCTCCTTTTCCACCCTCGTAGAGGGTGAAGCTTAACACGACTATACATATGGCCACTTTCCCTATAGCAATTAAGGTGTTAAACAAAGGTGTATGCAGGTTCAGGTACGTGCACATCATTCAACAAGCCGGAATCGAGATCATCGTCTAGTTCAAATTCAATATCCATTGGATCGATTTCAGGCGGAGGTCTTGGTATTCTTGATGCGCAGGGTGGTGCTGGACGCATTAGACATGATTCTACTTTTTCACGCGTCGTTTTTTCATCCCCGTTCCCATTAATCTTTACAGCAGATTCACCTGCATACTGCATCATATCGATTACATGTTCTTCATACTCTTGAAGCTGTAATTTTATCAATATGCAATGAAACTGTGACTTCAGTGGCTGGAGTTATGAGTCCAGCTACCTTTACTTACATCTCGTTCAATGATTAGTCTGTAATCTTTAGGATGTATACCTAATTTACAGTCATCCATACCAACATGATCCTCCTTGGATAAGTTGTGCTTGCTTCCAGTGAAAATATTGTACCGACGATTGAGCAGTCTTTCTCTACAGATGTCACTGTTCACCTCAATAAATATTACTCTGCAATATTTATCACGTTGGATAATAATTTCTAATAAGAAATTTTAAGAACTAAGGAATTTTGCTACCTATTTGGAGGGGTAGAATTTAAATCCAATAGTTTAAAGTCTTCCACGGTCTTTGGGTATCCAGTCAAAACCCACCCTCTTTTCAAACACTCGTATTCGGCAATATGTTTCTAAAAATCATGATATTGTAACGAAAAGTCCAAGGAAAATCGTTTATTCTTTCGTACTTCGACGATCTGTATTCTAATCTCGGGCTTGGGTCTCTGTCCCCATTTGTATTCGAACAATCGAAGCATTTCTCCCAAAGGATTCTTTTGCAGACGTGCTTGTTCGGCGATATAATCATAGTCGACTGAATTAAACGAGGATCCTCGTTAAAATGTACAACATACTGTTTTAATCGAAAAGGATGAATGAAAGTTACTATGAACGAGGTTGAATCGTTCAGCCAAGTATTTTGCTAATGTAGTACAACCGGATCCTCTTGATCCAATGAGCACGATACGAAAGAGTGACGGTGCTCCAGAATGTTTCTTCGTCTTTGCCAATTTTGCGCAATCCTTTCCAAGTTCATCGATGGTTCTGATACCAACCTCGACCTCCTTGAAACGAATTGATACTCTGATTGAGGTGTCGCAATTATGACATTAAATGAAATATGAATTATGAAAAATGACTAACAATTAAAGAATTTCCATATACTTCTCGCAATCCCCGTAAATGCTTCAAATAACGACGGTTCTTCGAATTTTTCGAAGCATTCGTTGACGTAAAAGCTTGTTGGTAAGAGGCATCCATGCAAAAATGTTTCCAGTTTTCATTTTTATTAAATTCATCCGAAACTATAAGCTGTATCACGTGAGTTGGTATTATACCGACACGTAGAAATATTTTCGCTTCGTTTTTTGTTCTTGGTAAATCTACAGAGCAAATAAGAAATAAAAGTTACATTTTAATGCTTGTAGGCTGTTTACAAGCTGCATTTTACCTACGAGCAACCATCCACATTCGTGTAAACTTCCGTTCTCCAAAATCTTTTTCATTTCCAAGGCGAGATCTTCCGATTCCTCGCAGTGGCAAACGTTCTAACAAAAGGAATTCATTAGAAACGAAAATAGACGGAGATTAAGCTTGTTGCTTACTTCCTCCTGACAACATGCGTTGCGTAGGTCTTTCAAAGTTAAAGGACAGACGCCTAGTTCCTCCTGAAGAACTTTTGCTAAAGTCAATCGATCTGTATGCATAAATTATATTTGTTTAAATACAGACGAATTTCTAAAATCTTATACTTTGATTTTTTTAAATCAATTACCAAAATTTGGAGGCGCTATAAGAATAATTTTTGGAACATCCAGTCTTTTTGCGGCAAGTTGAAGATATTGCTTCATAAATACAAGATGGTCGTCGGGCTTTTGAATTACTAGCTGAGTGGCGATTTCCTGTACATGTTTTTCATTTTAAAAAGATTCAAAACTCTTTTTTACCAAATCATCGTGAAAGTATTTGTGGAACATAGGTTATTTACGTAAAATAATTCGTATATGCGATGTTTCTCTAAATATGTTACAAATTGAGCGTTCATAGAATGAACCATTTTTTCTGTTTCTTGCAATCCCGCCATCGTATACCTATATTAAGATTTTACACTTAGAAAATGTGTTTTTATTTTATTATTATACCTCATTTGAATGTTTCCCACATATTTTAATACAATTAATGTACTCACTTCAATTGTTTCATCTCTCAAAATATGCTTATGAAATGTATCGTATTGGACTTTATGTATTTAGAAAACAATAAAATACCTATGATACGGAAACCGATCCTTTTCTTTCTCTACATTTTTAATGTTTAATGTTATCTTCATCATTGATTTCTGCACACTTTCTTTACGAATGACATGCCTATAAATATAAATTACCGCAATATGTTAAAATGTGCGGAAAGTTGGATGGCGCCACATGTTTTTATGACTTTTCCTGCAACTGGCATTAAAGAGAGAGTGTGGAAAAGTAAGGTTAGATAACCTTAGGAGGTACACGTTTCAGTATGTCAACCGAAAAGAAGGTATCAGATGTCACGCAGAAAATATCTGAAATGGACATGGAGGAGACGGGGAAGAAACTGACACATAAAGAAAAGAAAAAATTGAAAAAACAGCAGGAATATGAGAAAACGATGGAAATGTTAACGAAAACCGGTGGTCAGGGTCACAGTGAACTCGAGAGCAATTTCACATTATCTCAGACTCAAACTCAACAGCGCACTAATCAACAATTAGAACATGCAGTTGACATAAAAGTGGAAAATTTTAGTATAGCAGCTAAAGGAAAGGAACTTTTCACTAATGCCAGCTTATTAATTGCACAGGGTAGACGTTACGGTTTAGTAGGACCAAATGGGTATGCAGTTTTGGAGCTTTTGATGAATTAAATATAATTTCATTATCTTACAATTCTTATTTATCTTTCAGCCATGGCAAAACTACCTTGTTGCGTCATATTGCAAACAGAGCATTTGCTATTCCACCTAATATTGATGTTTTATATTGTGAACAAGAAGTTATTGCTGATGATACTCCAGCTGTGGAAGTAGTACTCAATGCAGATGTAAAGTGTAAAGAATTACAGGCAGAGTGCAAAAAATTAGAAGAATTAATAGAACAAGGAGATACTTCTGTTCAAAGTAGATTACAAGAGGTACTTTATTGTCTTATTTCATTAAGTTTAAATTTATCCTGTAGTGTTTTGTAATACTGTGTATCTTATAGGTTTATGAGGAATTGAAAATTATTGGAGCAGATTCTGCAGAGCCACGTGCCAGAAGAATTCTTGCTGGTTTAGGTTTTAGTAAAGCCATGCAAGATCGTGCGACGAAAAATTTTTCGGGTGGTTGGCGTATGCGTGTTTCTCTCGCTAGAGCTTTATTCTTAGAACCCACATTGTTATTACTTGATGAACCAACGAATCATCTGGATTTAAATGCTGTTATTTGGTTGGATAATTATCTTCAGGCTTGGAAGAAAACATTACTGATTGTTTCCCATGACCAAAGTTTTTTGGATAATGTGTGTACAGACATCATTCATTTAGATCAGCAAAAATTATTTTATTACAAAGGAAACTATAGTATGTTTAAGAAGATGTATGTACAAAAGAAGAAAGAAATGATTAAAGCATACGAAAAGCAAGAGAAACGGATCAAGGATCTTAAAGCTTCTGGGCAAAGTAAAAAACAAGCTGAGAAGAAACAGAAAGAGGCTTTAACTAGGAAACAAGAAAAGAATAGAACGAAAATGCAAAAGCAAGAAGACGATACAGCTCCTACGGAATTATTACAGAAACCTAGAGACTATATAGTGAAATTTAGTTTTCCGGATCCACCGCCTTTACAACCGCCGATTCTTGGTCTTCATAGTACGTCACAGTTTAATATACCGTGCATTATTTCATATAAATAACTGGATTTAAAAATTAATATGTTGTTTCAGATGTGACGTTTTCGTATGAAGGACAAAAACCTTTATTTATTGAGGTGGATTTTGGAATGGACTTGAATTCTAGGATAGCTATAGTAGGACCCAATGGTGTTGGGAAATCCACGTTTTTAAAATTATTAACTGGTGACTTACAACCACTTAAAGGAGAATTGTCAAGAAACCATCGATTGGTACGTAGAAATTGAAGTTTACGTTTTCGGGTACTTAACTAATTGGTATACTAAATTGCATTCTATAATTTTCAGAGGATAGGCAAATTCGACCAGCATTCTGGTGAACATTTAACTGCCGAAGAAACACCGTCGGAATATTTGATGCGATTGTTCAATCTTCCTTACGAAAAAGCTAGGAAACAATTAGGAACATTTGGACTTAGTTCTCACGCCCACACGATTAAAATGAAGGATTTGTCCGGTGGCCAAAAAGCGCGAGTCGCTTTGGCAGAATTGTGTTTAAATGCACCCGATGTTGTAATTTTGGACGAACCGACGAACAATTTAGATATCGAATCCATAGATGCTCTAGCTGATGCCATCAATGATTATAAAGGAGGAGTTATCATTGTTTCTCACGACGAGCGTCTGATCAGAGATACAGAATGTTGTTTGTATGTAATTGAAAATCAACAAATTAACGAGATCGATGGAGATTTCGATGACTATAGGAAAGAACTGTTGGAAAGCTTGGGAGAAGTTATTAATAATCCAAGTATAGCTGCAAATGCTGCTGTTCTACAATGATAATATTGGCTCTATAGGATAGAAATTTTCTCAGTGGCCTGCAAACATTCTTTCAGACTCAAAAACTCGTACATAGCATTAAATTTCCGTACCTATCGATTGATTTTCCTTATGAAGATTTTAGTATCAACTTTACATTGTGAATACGCATTGGGTGCTTTGAGTGCAAAATATTATTTATATTTTAAGATAGTCAAAGTTTATATAAAATTTGTCTAATAGGACTATTGAATACAATGAGTATTCATTACATCTATGAAAAATTGAATGCTACTAATCAGAGTATTTTAATTTTTTAATTGTACATGCTGGCAATTGTAATTCTGTATAATAAGTAAAATTATTACTCAAGCCTCTGAAGAAATATTTATATATACAACTGTACTCTTTTGTATTATAAATATTTGCTTCATGTTAAAACATAAGAAAAAAGAAAATAAAATTGATTTACAGATTGATCTTTAATTCTTGTGTACATATGTATGTATGCGGATGAAACTTTTATCAAAATGAAAGTAACGTTCCATCGAAAAAACTATCTTATCGTAAGCTACTCTAGTGATTTCCAACAAATTGAAAGAAAAGTTGGTTCTACTGAAATGCGTATAACCGGCGGCGCAATGTTCGCTGCCAAAAGGGGCAGACGAGTGATGTGAAAATTGTCAAATATTTTGTGCGAGGTGGTGTCCCGCAGCGAACTTGATAGTGTTCTAAAAAGTCGTCGAAATGTCTAGTACCTTGGAGAATAAGATTTTAAATTTGCAAGAACGTCTTAGAGCGGAAAATGAATCAAGGGATAGAGACAGACATAACAGCGAGGTTGGATCAGGAACGGGCCTTCAATCGTCATCCTCAGTACCTGTCTCGAGTCCTGCTTCACGACGTAAGTTCAATTTAAATACTATTTGTGAACGTAATTACATTCTTTTCTGACTTATTTTTGAAAAGTCTCTAATATAACTTTCTATCTACCACTTGTTGTACAGGTTATGTTGATCATCACAATTTATTCTGTTGACTCTATATAGGATACATTTTTGGTCTCCTTATTTAACGCGTAGTTTATTTTATTGTAGCTGTACCCCAACTAGTATTTCCAAACGGCAGTATTTTTTATTTTGATGAACAGATCAAATTTTAATATAAATAGAAATATGTTTAAACTATTTGCATAAACAAAAACAATGTATTTTTTTTGCTCAATAAAGAAAATGCCCCTTTCAGTTGATAAAAATAAATACTTCCTTTTGTTCCTTAAGTGATTCTGAGTTATTTTTCATTTTTAATACTGTTATTTTTTGTTGATAGTTAAAATACATTTTGTGTTCCTAATGATAGCTTAAAATTATTTTAATGCTGTAAAAAATATGTTATTTTTTTCTTTAGTTTTTTAAGTCCATATACACATGAGAATGATGCTTGATTTTTTGAATGCAGCTCCAATTCCAACTTTAAAAGTCTCACAGATACCTCCAAAGAAACAAGATAGTGAATTTGAGTCAAAATTACAAGAAATCATGAAGATGAATGGTATTTTAAATATTAATGGGCAAAGGTATCAAACTGAAATGAAAGATTTAGAGCATCTAGGTGAATTAGGAAATGGTACCTGTGGACATGTTGTTAAAATGAGGCACAAACCTAGTGGTGTACTCATTGCTGTGAAACAAATGAGACGTTCTGGTAATGCAGAAGAAAATAAAAGGATAATTATGGATCTTGATGTTGTGTTAAAATCACATGATTGTCCATATATTGTGCAATGTTTGGGATGTTTCATCACTGAATCTGATGTATGGATTTGTATGGAATTAATGGCAACTTGTTTAGATAAATTATTAAAAAGAACCAGACAAGCAATGCCAGAAGAGTTTTTAGGAAAAGTCACAGTAGCAGTAAGTGATATTAAAAATGTCTAACTTATTTCAATAGCATTGAGAATATTAATAAAAAGAATATATACTTCCATAGACAGTAAAAGCATTGTCATATTTGAAAGAAAAACATGGTGTTATTCATAGAGATGTGAAACCTAGTAATATTCTTCTTGATGAAAGGGGAGGAGTTAAATTATGTGATTTTGGTATATCTGGCAGATTAGTTGACAGTAAAGCAAAAACTAGAAGTGCAGGATGTGCTGCTTATATGGCTGTAAGTATGAAAATTTGCATCTTTTCTCATAGTAATAGTCTGAACTGTTTAATGAAACATTATTATGTATTTTTTTAAGCCTGAAAGAATTGATCCTCCAGATCCAACTAAACCAGACTATGATATAAGAGCTGATGTATGGAGCTTGGGTATTACTTTAGTAGAATTAGCTACAGGAGTATTCCCTTACCGAGATTGCAAGACTGATTTTGAGGTAAATTATGTTAATTAGTATTATATAAATAGGAATTCAGGAACATGTTTTCAAATAGCTGTTATATCTACTTAAATTTATAGGTATTGAGCAGAGTAGTACAAGATGATCCTCCTTCCCTTCCATCAGATGCACTTTTTTCAAAGGAATTCAGAAGTTTTGTGAGTTGTTGCCTTACAAAAAATTATAAGCAACGTCCAAAATATCATAAACTCATGGAACATGCTTTTATTCGAAAATACGATGTATCTCAAGATGAAGAAACAAATTCTTCAGTTCTAAATTCTGGCTGCCAATGGTTTGGCAGGGTAATGCGACAATTAGAACCAAGGTAAACTGTTAATAAGTATACTTGCTGTTAGCATTAAAATGTAGTTTTCAGGCATTACATAGGACATTTTTGGATTAAAAAAATACACGAGACATCACGAAATATAGTAGACATGTGTTGTTAGAAAAGATCATTCTAGAAATTGAATAGAGTTTTAAATATGGCATGAAATTCCCAACTAATATCATAATGATTTGGTTTGGTTTGAAAGTAACCGGGTATTTTTTTTATATATATTTTTTTTTTTTTATACATATTAGTCTTAAAAATGTTAACACACTTCAAACATGGCTAACGGGTAGGTATTAAAACAGCTCGAAAAATATGATGCCAAGTTTCAAAGTAAGGCTTTTATTGGATACTAGTTTTTATATATTTATCTTTTATTCATTGCCAAACGACATTTACAAACCTATCCATACATTTCGATTAAAAGTTTGCGTGCGTGTTAAATTGTGTTGCAGCGTTGAGCTTGAGGGAGGCAGCGCAGCATAGCATCCCCTCTCCCTCGCTCCTGCCCCCTTTTCCATTTTCCCCCAAAATTTACCCATAAATTCCAAAAAACTTAAAAAAAATACACCTCACAAATATCCAAAAAACTGCCCGATTTTCATTTCGAGTTGTTTGGTTTGTGCACGCGCCTGTTACACACCCCACCCTTCAACCCCCACTCATGGTAAGCATTGTTTTTATTTATTTGAATATTCATTTATTTGTTTTTATTATTATATAGCGATTTGCCAGTGGCACAAATAGTTTTCCCTGTGCACACTCCATTCATCAAAAAAATAATTCAGTTATATTTGTTCTTTTATTTCTTTTTTTAAACATTAGATAATGCACATTGTACGTTTTGGTTGTTATTTAGCATGGAATATTTTACTTTTTTCTAGTTTCGAACACGAATATTCTTTATTACCTTAGAAATATTCCTCTATCCTCATCTGTGTTGCATGAGACTATAAATTAACGCTCTAACTTCTATTAACTTTTTAGCGATTCTGATTCTTACAGAAACATCATTCTTACAGTTGTCTTAGGAGACAGTGGCAATCAGAAATGAACCAAGCCATTATTTAGAAATAAATATCTTTTAAGTGAAATTTGAAACATGCATAGTTATAGTTTAATTCTATGGTGATTCAGTTTCAGATTGCCAGGGTGGCAACAGAGAGTTACGGGTCATGTGTCTTTAAAACAAACAGCTCATCTCAGGGCTCAATCCGAAGTACCAGCTTTCCTACGAAGCAATGTCACCAAAGACTCGCAGAACTCCAGTTTTTTGCCATTTCATCAACGATCAAATAGTGAGAATGGTGCGAACTATGTATCATATAGTCCGTACGCGCTTAGACGAAAGGAAATTTCCAGGCCGTTTTCTCCTCCTTCGTCCAACGACGTGGACGCATCGGAAACGAATTTTCAACAATCGTATTCACCGTATAGACAACATGTCGATCAAAACAGGGATTATTCTTCGAATCATTGTTCTACTAATGGACAAGGTAGACAAGAAGGAAGACCGTTCTCTCCTTATCGACAAGATAGCACCGCGATAGACACCGGGAATAGGCTCTATTCACCGTATCACGGACGCTTTACCGAAGATCGTGACTCGAGTAAAGAACGATGGCAAAGTGTCTCTAGATCGTTAAGTCCGTTTGCTCGTGATTATTCACCTTGGAGGAGAGAAAATGTCGATCCTCCAAATGTAATACAACCAACCGAAAGTGGTCGTTATTCACCGTTTCTTCAACAACGACTAGGACATATTCCAGCTGTGCCTCAAACTCATCCGCAATCACATGATATTTATGGTAGTCCTATGATTAGTCGTAAAAGGTAAATTTCGATGGAAAATTTCTACGAGACAACATCATGTATACACTGACTATTTTAATGTTTAAAATTTCAGGTTTCCTTCTGAACCTCCTCCACAAGGATCTCATGGTTCTACCAGCCCTGAATTATTAATCTCTCGTTTTGCTCATCAGTTGAAGCAAGATCCTCCATCTGCTACACCACCAGTTCAGGGTGGATCAAAGGAATCTGCTAAGAAACGTTTTGCTTCTTACGTTCGTCTCAGGCTCGGAAGTGAACGCGCTCCTTCGCCGGAGCCACCGCCGAGATTGAGCCGCGGTGAATCCCCTCTTGCCCTTAGAAGGAATTTAGTAGATCAAGCGTCTCCCTCTTTTGCAAGAAGGTAGTACAACCGTCGATTTTTTCTGAGTACTCGTAAAATAAGAGTAATCTCTAAATTTGATGATTTTTTTTGATCCTCAAGGTATGTTTCATCTTCTCCACCTCAACCTCCTCCTAGGAGATTGTCAGAAAGCAACTCTGTGCCTGGTAGTCCTCAACATGTACGAGCTCGACTACGTTACACCCCTGAACCTCAGAGGAGACCTCCGCCACCATAACCCACCGTTACGATTAAACCTTATTCCTTGTTGGTGCCATATGCGATAAAAGTAACTGAATTAATCACATGTACCATGTAGAAATGGTGTTATAATCAACAATGGTTGTGCACACAAGTGATCGGGGTGCACCAGTGTACTTGAAAAACAGTTTGAAACCAAAAAATGAAAAAAGAAAAAAATAGCTGTTTGTAATACTCGGTGACATCCGTGAGTTCTCTTAATGTGTACGTATTTTTCAAACAAAGACTCGGATATACGTACAATGTACAATACGATTACCAAACATTGAACATTGTTTTTGCAAGCACGGAACAAAAATGTTAGATATTCTAGATTCGAGAGGACGGTCTTTGGGATTGATCATCGCACGATTTTCGTGGCTGTAATGACGTACCGCGTTGAACTACTTTGTCAATAAACTCTCTTATCGACGTGTATTTATATAGGATGCAATCAACGGATGCAATACGATGCTCAACTTTTTATATTGCTTGTAAAGATATAAATAAATGTAGTATGTTCGACGTTTTTTCTAAAAAAAAAAAAAAATAAATGAAAAGAAAGGGAAAGAAAAGAAAAGAAAAACAAGAAGAAAAAAGGGGGAAAAAATCAAAAAAGAAAAGAAAATCGTTATTAGGAGACGCGGCATCGTACTGAACGCGTAAACCGTTCCTATCATTCTTCGTTTACGCTTCTTTTTTTAATTGAGAGACAATTAGCGAGAATTGTAAACGAAACTCGCGTAGGAGTTCTCTCTTCCTCGGGCGGCCTTGCAGTGTATCTCTGCAACACGACTTAGTAAAGGCGAACATTTTTCACGTTTCATTATTGTTTGTAATATATAATACCAAACGCATTACGGCGATCACGATGAGGATCGATCGAGTGAAAAAACCAAATCGTAAGAACTATTAAAACGACGTCTCCATAAGGAAAGCACAATATTCACGTCTCCTAGATTTTACGAGTTTCAACAAAATGTATATTATTTAAAATAAGAGGCGTGTTTGGGCTAGAACGTTGTAATTATTATTTTTAATTAACATTTATTCATTAACTTTGTTCAATCTACACTCGTAATCACCTTTTGTCACTTATTTGACAAAAGGATCTGTTGCAATGTAAATAAACTTATATTTATACGATCTTGTTCCCTTACTTTCTTTTCTTTATTCATCTTCCCATTGTTAAATCTGAAAATTTTGAAATCTTTTATCTTGTGTCAATATCGCTACTTATTACCTACAACTTATTTTTATCATATGCTGCCACGTAATGCTAAGCAATTTCTTTTTGTCGAGCGCTCATGCGCGCTACTATTATTGTATCGTAATGGTTTCGTTTTCGTAGCAAGAATTCCATTTCTTTTACGTGCCGATTAATAAAATTATACGAAACTAAGTTGCTGTAGCAAATTTAATTGATCCTATATAAATGTTTTCCTATATTATTCGATATAAATACAAACACTTATTTGTATTCAATAATAAAATAAGGTCATTTGTACTTTGGTCTTATTTTTTTACCACGTGAATGACATACTATATGAAAATGAGAACGTCGAGTATCATTCGTAATTTATAAATTGATCGTTTAAATGATATAATATAAATAGGAAATTGATTGTCGATCGTTCGTAAATATTTAATTGTAAAAAAAACGAATTTTCGAAGCAAATTAAATTACTATAAAACAATCATTTGATTTAACTGGGAGCAATGAATTACAGAAGAATTCATTATCTTTTTTGCTTTCAATGTATAGGTGCATAGACTTACAATCATGCAATATAGATATTCATAGTGTTCGTTCCTTGTATAATTTATACGTACTAGAGTATTTTTAAAGAAATATAATAACTCAAAGATATCGAATGATTTCCCAAAATTGAGAGGAAGTAAATAATTTGACACGGGAAGGGCTTAGGCGAGGATCATTTTAAAAATAAATTCATCGCTCGAATCGGCCCGTCCCTGAGCAATCAATATGGCCTCCAGGTCTACGCGGGGCACACCAGCGTAGTGTAGATATTTCTCTGAAAATCTTTGGAACAAATGGTTTCTGTGATAATAGAATTAGTCAACCTGTTGGAAAGTGTATGGAAAGATATTTTCATGGTGTTTGTTTGAATACCAGTGATAGTATTCAGTCAGAACGAAAATTAGAAGGCGTTCCATTGCTGTTTCAGCTACTTGTACTTTGCGGAAGACATCGTCGACGTTGGAGTACTGTCTGATAGTTGACGGGCGTATAGTAATAGCTCAATCGACTGTCAAATTTTACAATGAGCTGACTTTATAAGGGTAAAGATTTGTAGTTTCCAGTTAAAATTTGATAATATGTCGGAGAATAAGAGTAAGGAAACTGCCACGATGGAGGGTTGTCAAGAAGGGGGCGAAGAGGAAGATATGGCTGCCGAGAGGGTCGAAGATAAGGTCAGCATCCAGCAAATTCTCGAGGGTATGACAAATGAATTTAACAAAAGTATAAGTCCCGTCAAAAACGCAGAAATTAATCGATCAGAAAAATCGGATCACGAGGAAAACGAAAAACCGGCCGCGATTCTTGATGCACCATCAGCAGTCGAAAAAGAATCCAATGGAGAGAAAAACGAAGAAATTACTCCCATAAAACAAAATTCTGTCGAATCGACACCACCGGATGAAAATTCAAAAGATGATGAAAATACTGGAAAACAGGAAATTTTGAAAAAAGATAATGGTATTCCACGCATTGTCCTTACGTTTAGGACAATCGACGAAAATACAGATCATGGTAAAAAAACGAAGATATCAAGTTGTTCCTCCAACCTTACTTTAGTTCCTGATGAACTTGCAAATTGTGATCAGATTGGTGGTGTTTCTGTCAAGATCGAGAATTCAGATGAGAATTCTGACACTGTTGAAAAATCAGATTCAGAAGAAGGTAGAACAGAAGAGCCAGCCAAAGATTTTGAGAGCAAAGAACCAGAGAAAAAATCAGAGGAAACAGAAACACCAAAGGAAAATATGGAAGTACCAACAGAGGAAAAATCCACCACCTCCGATGAAAAAGCTAAGACTGAGGAAGTAAATGCTTCAACAGAACCTACTGAGCAAAGTGAACAAGCAGATAGCACACCTCCAGTTACTAGGAAAAGGAGAATAGGACGACCTAGATTAAGGGCACTTAGGTTTTTTTATTTTCTTTCATCTCAAATACATAAAATTACTATGCATGTTATTTGTAAACATTCTATAACATTTTTAGCGACCACACAGAAGAACCTCCAGGTCCTAAACGTTCAGCTAGAAGACTTTGTAAAGAAACATTGAAGAGTACTGTGTTAGAGAGTGCAATGGCAAGGAAGGAAAAGTCTAATTATACAGAAGAAAATCTAGGGTTTAAAAAGCAGAGGAAATACAATAAACCAGGAAGACCTAAAAAGGTGATGCAAGGGAAAGATCATAATAAACAGTTGCAAGCTAAGCCTCCTGACATACGTCAGGAAGCAGAAGCATCAATTTCTGATGGGAATATTAGTCTCTCTGAGGTAAACTCAACATTAGAATGTTCTAGAAATTCTTCCATATCAGAAAGTAGTGCAAATGATACAATCCTGGATGAATCTCAAAATTTTTCATCTGACTTTGATGGTATGCCAAAATTGTCTCCTATGATAAAAAGTTCAGAATCACAAACAAAATTGTGTAATTCAATTGGCAGTCCAACAAATGATGATATACCTTTAGCAGACATAGAAAAGCCATTTCTAAAGCCTGCTACTGGTAGACCTAAGAGAGAAAGAGGTCGTCCTCGAGGAAGTCAAGCTGCCAGGAAAATAGCGAAAGCTGATTCGTTCGAAGGTATAAAAAAATACATATAAAATTAGTATAAAAAAGAACATGGTACTATAGAAATATTTTGTTTCCAGATGGATCTGTATCAATAGCAGAAACAGGCAAACATAATGATTATCCTGAAGGTAATATTTCATACGCGCACTGTACACGTACTTCCTGCAGGGAATATTTACATTAACGTGTATTTAATTTTCTAGAAGGTACTGTCCCCGCTAAGAGGACAAGGAGAAGCATGGCTCCAAGCCCAAGTCCTGCAGAAGGGCAAGCTTCAAAACCAGAGTCAACAGCAATTATGAGTGAAGTTAGTATATTTTATATATAAATTGGCTATTCTCATACATCGTTCATATTATATTTAATATTGATCGTGTATTTTAGACATATGGTCAGTCAATGTTATGTTTATGTCAAGTGAGATCTCAGCTGTATGTAACGATAACTGGTTCTGGGGCACCACTGTATTGTACCGCAATAGATTCTATCGACAATAGATTAGTAGGATGTTGTAACGAAGTTGATAGTAACGATGTAGCAATGAGGAGACCTAGTACACGTGTTCCTTTTATCATTTTGTGTCGAATGCATAAGGAAAGACTACTAAGACATAATTGTTGCCCTTCTTGTGGACTCTTTTGTTCGCAAGGAAGATTTGTACAATGTATTAATGGCCATCAGTATCATCGCGAATGCGAGATATATCCGAACAAAAAAGGAGTATGTCCACATTGTGGAAACGAGAGTACAGCATACGATGTAATGGTCACTATGAGTGGCTTAAGAAAACCTGTGTTCATTCCGACTCGAAAGAAATTTTCAAAACTGCCTTCTGCGAAAATGAGTTTGCCAGGGAAAGGTGATAATACGAAGTTAGCAGAACGACCCCCTAGTCCTTTAATTCAACCAGATATTATTAAAATACCTGAACCGTCTGTTAACACTGAGAGACCAGAACGTTATACAATCATGAGTCTTTACACATCTGTAAAGAATGGGGATTTAGAAAAATTGGTCAATGTTTTAGGTGTGTTACCATGCTACCTTCACTTCCGTAAATTTTATTAAAAATAATATATTATTCATAAATCATCCTAATTTTTTAGCATGTGGATACAATGCAAACCATACATTCCGAGATTACGCACATCGAACTGGCCTTCATATAGCTGCAGATAAAGGTCACTTATCTTGTGTGCACGTGTTAGTACAAGCCGGTGCTCAATTAGACGTGATGGATAGAAATCAACTAACACCGTTAATGTTAGCCGCTAGCAAAGGTAAAGCCGACGTGGTGAAATATTTAATAAGAATAGGAGCCGATGTTACGTTAAAAGGAGAAGATGGTATGACTGCTTTGCACATGGCTGCTAAATCTGGTCATTTAGATGTTTGTCGAATAATTTTGACGGAATGTAAAGCGCCAAGAACATTAGTAGGTAATTAAAATTATATTCATCATTTGATTATTGCCTTAAATTTGATTTAACACCATGTGCAAAAGTAATCGTTTATGCCTTATTAGATTCAGTGGACGACGGTGGATGGACAAGTTTAATTTGGGCCTGTGAATTTTGTCATGCCGAAGTAGCACGATTTTTATTAGATAAAAAGTGTGACCCTTTGATACGAGATGCGGAACAAAACATAGCGTTGCATTGGAGTGCTTTTAGCGGAAGTTCAGAGATTACAGAAATGTTACTCAACGAGGGTTGTGATGTGAATGCTGTTAACGTTCATGGCGATACGCCTCTGTAAGTTTTTTATTTACTACTCTTATCGTATAAGCGATATTTTCTTTATCATATCTAATATGTTGCAGACACATAGCTGCTAGACAAGATCAGTATGCAGTTAGTATTTTGTTATTAGCTCGTGGTGCTAAGATAGGTGAAGTTAATGCAGCAGGAGAAACAGCAGTAAACTGTTGTACAAACGATGGCGATACTATGTCTGCTTTAAGATTGAATGCGAAAGTTAATGAACTTTCTGAACATATGTGGGAGAAAACAGTAAAAATTTTAACTAAGTGATTATCAAATTTGATGTATCTTTCTTTCTAGTCGAATAATTTCTGTGAAAATACATTTAATGATTTACAGTGACATTTCACGTGGCAAGGAAACGAATCCGATTCAATGCGTTAACGGATACGATTCAGAAGACAAGCCAACAGATTTCCTCTACGTGACTGAAAATTGTTTCACCAGTAATATACATGTTGATCGCACGATAACATCCCTACAGTCTTGTCGATGCGAAGACAACTGTAGTTCAGAAAAATGTTTGTGTGGAAATATAAGTTTGCG